AAAAATCCCCCCCCAGGGGCCCGTGCACACTGAGGAGTGGGTAAAACACCCCCCCCCCCCAGCACACAATGCTCATACTGAGTGAGGTGGGGAAACCCTCCATAAGACCTCCCAGAAGCCCCCCAGACCCTGGGCAGTATGTGGATTGCAGGGTGGGCACTGCCCCCCATATCTGCTCCAGCGGTGTGGCCCGTGCCACCGCCACTCTCCCAGCACCAGAGCTGGGGCTGGGGCTGCAGCTGGTACCCTTGCCAGCTCCGGAGACTCCCAGCAACCTCTATAGGTGGTTTTCTTGCTGCTTTCCACCTGACTACCTCTTATGGATTTCCTGCCTCCACCCCCTGCCATTTTTACTGGTGGGGTTGGGGGTGAAGGATCTCAATTATACAAGGTTGGGGTGGGGGAACTCTTGGGACACTCTTCCCTGCCTAGAAATTGCAGCTGAGAATGTGACAAGTTAGAAGACACTTGAGTAATTTCTCTCCCCCCGCCAGAGTGGGGCTGTTCAGTTTGGGTCGCCGGCCCACTGGGTGATAAAAAGTTCATGATCCGGCCCCACATTCAAAAAGGTTGGACACCCTTGTACTAGAGGTTCATAGGTGGCCTCCTGCATTCTCCACTTATGATTATTCTTTAACGTCTCCAGCAGTCCAGGGCTCCAGTTAGGCTGCTGTAGAGGCCACTGAGTTGTTTGAAGGATTTAGAGGGTGGTGGCGGGGGGAGGGGACATTAATCCAAGGTTCAATCCCTTCTCTATTTGCTTTTGGTGTAATGATTCTGTCTAAGGCCAGTTCTAACAATGATTTCCTCAGTGGTTTCTATCAGGATCTGAGAAGCACTATGGCAAAACAGCTCTGCTGTCTCTAGGCAATGCTGTACCTTTACAATGTGGAGGACTCTCTGTCCAGGTTCCCAGGGCTGTACAATCAATTGCTTCTGGTCCCATCCGCACAAAGCCCGTGTCACAGGAGAAGGAGCATGTGGAGTTATATGTGAAGATTCCATGCAGATCAGAGCAGAACATGTGGCCCCTGTCCGGGGCATCCAGTGTGGGGCACCTGACAGCTGGAATGGTAAAGCAGAGCTCTGTAAGGCAGGAGTCTGGCCATGCTAAGGGCTGCAGTGCCAAGGGCCACTGAGCTTTGGGGCATGCAGTGTAGAGGCCTAAGTATCGGGTGCTGGGGGTGACAGGGCTGCAGAGGATCAGGTGACAGCATGAACAAAAGTGGTCAGATGCCAGAGAGGAGCTACTAGAAGAACTGGGTGGGTGAGGAATGGTGCTGATGTGTTAGGTGCCAGGGACATGGACTTGGGGTTAGTGAAGAGACAGGGGACTAGTGGGCCAGGAGGCAGGCTGCTCACTGTATTCAGGGAGAGGCTGATGGGGGCAGGGATGGGGTGGCAAGGATTGTAGTGTCAGGAGCTGCTGTGGTAGGGGTTGTGGTGCACCTGCTTTGTTCCAAGGTAAGTGACAACTCAAGGTGAAGAGACAGTGAAGAACCAGACCTGTTTTCTCCCTAGGGCAGAGCCTTCTCTTGAAAGCTCTTTGTTATGGTGCTGTCCCAGATCTCCATTCCCTGCCTCTGACAGTCATTGTATGCTATCTCTCTTCCCCAGCACTGGCAGAGATTTGGGTTTCTATAGGGAGAGGCATCTGGTATAGCATCAAACCACTGACATACACTTCAGACAGCTCATAATGAATGCTGTGTATTTACCTTTACAGAGTGGACTCTCTGTCCAGGTCCCCAGGGCTGTACACTTAAGCATCTCTGGTCCCATCCGCACAAAGCCGGTCTCACAGGACAAGTTGCATGTAGAGTTATACTTGAAATGTCCATGCATATGAGAGCAGGTTAAGTGGCCCCAATCTGGGTTGTCTAATGTTGGACATGTGATAGCTAAAACAGTAAAGCATTGCTCTGTGAGGAATTTGTGGGGAAACAATGGGAGATGCCAGCATGCAGTGACAAGAGAGGGGCTTGTAGTGGCTAAGTGACATTGTTGTGAGAGAGATGATGGTAAGTGATGGGTGGTACGATTGAGTGTTTTGGAGCTGGAGTCCTGGGATGATGCAAGCTGAGTTTCTGAGGACTGCATGCTACAAACGTGGGCGCTATGTGGTATGTCCGAAAAATAATGAATTAGGCTGTTGATATTAAATGGGGTATTAGGTACTAACATGGGTTGAACACAAGTGTAAGGGGCTGTTGACACAGAAGATGAGGATATACAGAAGACTGTTCTGGTGGGGGGATGCCAGGAGCCAGGTTATTTACTGTGTCGAAGGGGAAGGTGAATCGGAGCAGGGATGGGATTGCAGGATGAGAAATCCAGTGGCTGTCGTGCCAGGGTTGCGGGGCACTCACTTGTTCTGGTGCAAAGGACTCCTCCACTACAGGGATAGCAGTGATAATGTTCTTTTCCTAAAGCCTTCTGTTTCACACCTACTCCAGATCTCAGGAACCTAGTCCTGACTCCCGAAACTGTTGTACACAACAACTTCCCTCCCCAGCACTGGCAAAAATCTTGGCCTCTACAGAAAGGGGCGCCTGATATAGCACCGGGTCCATGATACACACTCCATATATCCCAATGTGAATACTTTGCCCCTACCTTCGCAGACTGGAGGACTTCCTGTCCAGTTCCCCAGGGCTGTACATTCCAACGTCTTTGGTCCCATCTGCCCAAAGCCAGCCTCACAAGAGAAGTCACATATAGAGCTATACATGAAGTTTCCATAGACGTGAGAGCAATTTATTTGACTCCAGTCTGGGGCATTCAATGCCGGGCACTTGATAGCTGGAATAGCAGAGCAGAGATGTGTAAGATGGGGGCCTGGAGGAAATGATGCTCAGAAATTCCATGTAGGGTTTAAGAAATATGAATATCATAAAACTTATCTGCAGAAGCACCTGGAAACCAAATCTGGCCTGATTTCTCAATTCTGCATTACAGCAAAGTAATTATGGGCTCATTCATCTCACAGGGAAAATGTTCTAATCAGATCTGGATGATGTATTTTTAGATTTACTAGAGGTTTATAGGTGGCCTCTTGCATTCTCCACTTATGATTATTCCTTAATGTCTCCAGCAGTCTGGGGCTCCAGTTAGGGTTGCTGTATAGGCCACTGAGTTGTTTGCAGGTTGGGTAGGGGGGCGTTAATCCAAGGCTCAAACCCTTCTCTATTTGCTTTCGGTGTAATGATTCTAAGGCCAGTTCTAACAATGATTTCCTCAGTGGTTTCTATCAGGATCTGAGAAGCACTATGGCAAAACAGCTCTGCTGTCTCTAGGCAATACTGTACCTTTACAATTTGGAGGACTCTCTGTCCAGGTTCCCAGGGCTGTACAATCAATTGCCTCTGGTCCCATCCGCACAAAGCCCGTGTCACAGGAGAAGGAGCATGTGGAGTTATATGTGAAGTTTCCATGCAGATCAGAGCAGACCATGCGGCCCCTGTTTGGGGCATCCAGTGTGGGGCACCTGACAGCTGGAATGGTGAAGCAGACCTCTGTAAGGCAGGAGTCTGGCCATGCTAAGGGCTGCAGTGCCAAGGGCCACTGTGCACTGTGGGATAGCATTGATAATGTTCTTTTCCTAAAGCCTTCTGTTTCACACCTACTCCAGATCTCAGGAACCTAGTCCTGACTCCTGCAACTGTTGTACACAACAACTCTTCTCCCCAGCACTGGCAAAAATCTTGGCCTCTACAGAAAGTTGCACCTGATATAGCACCAGGTCCATGATACACCCTCCACACATCCCAATGTGAATGCTTTGCCCCTACCTTCGCAGACTGGAGGACTTCCTGTCCAGTTCCCCAGGGCTGTACATTCCAACGTCTTTGGTCCCATCTGCTCAAAGCCAGCCTCACAAGAGAAGTCACATATAGAGCTATACATGAAGTTTCCATGGATGTGAGAGCAGTTTATTTGACTCCAGTCTGGGGCAATCAATTCTGGGCACTTGACAGCTGGAACAGCAGAGCAGAGATGTGTAAGTGAGAAGCCTGGAGGAAATGATGCTCAGAAATTAGATGTGGGGTTTAAGTAATATGAAAGCATAAAACTTATCTGTAGAAGCACCTGGAAACCAAATCTGGCCTGATTTCTCAATTCTGCATTACAGCAAAGTCATTATGGGCTCATTCCTCTCACAGGGAAAATATTCTAATCAGATCTGGATGATGTATTTTTTGATTTACTAGAGGTTCATAGATGGCCTGCTGCATTCTCCACTTACGATTATTCCTTAATGTCTCCAGCAGTCTGGGGCTCCAGTTAGGGTTGCTGTATAGGCCACTGAGTTGTTTGCAGGTTGGGTAGGGGGGCGTTAATCCAAGGCTCAAACCCTTCTCTATTTGCTTTCGGTGTAATGATTCTAAGGCCAGTTCTAACAATGATTTCCTCAGTGGTTTCTATCAGGATCTGAGAAGCACTATGGCAAAACAGCTCTGCTGTCTCTAGGCAATACTGTACCTTTACAATTTGGAGGACTCTCTGTCCAGGTTCCCAGGGCTGTACAATCAATTGCCTCTGGTCCCATCCGCACAAAGCCCGTGTCACAGGAGAAGGAGCATGTGGAGTTATATGTGAAGTTTCCATGCAGATCAGAGCAGACCATGCGGCCCCCGTCTGGGGCATCCAGTGTGGGGCACCTAACAGCTGGAATGGTGAGGCAGAGCTCTGTAAGGCAGGAGTCTGGCCATGCTAAGGGCTGCAGTGCCAAGGGCCACTGTGCACTGTGGGATAGCATTGATAATGTTCTTTTCCTAAAGCCTTTTTTTTCACACCCACTCCAGATCTCGGGAACCTAGTCCTGACTCCCGCAACTGTTGTACACAACAACTCCCCTCCCCAGCACTGGCAAAAATCTTGGCCTCTACAGAAAGGGGCGCCTGATATAGCACCAGGTCCATGATACACCCTCCACACATCCCAATGTGAATGCTTTGCCCCTACCTTCGCAGACTGGAGGACTTCCTGTCCAGTTCCCCAGGGCTGTACATTCCAGTGTCTTTGGTCCCATCTGCACAAAGCCAGCCTCACAAGAGAAGTCACATATAGAGCTATACATGAAGTTTCCATGGATGTGAGAGCAGTTTATTTGACTCCAGTCTGGGGCAATCAATTCCGGGCACTTGACAGCTGGAATAGCAGAGCAGAGATGTGTAAGTGAGAACCCTGGAGGAAATGATGCTCAGAAATTCCACGTGGGGCTTATATAATATGGATATCACAAAACTTAGCTGGAGAAGCAACTGGAAACCAAATCTAGTTTTATTTCTCATTCCTTTATTATGGCAAAGTCATTTTAGGCTCATTCGACACACAGGGAAAATGTTCTAATCAGATCTGAATGATGTATTTTCATGAAAACAGAAAACTCACAATGAACAGTGAATTAATTCCCCTGCAACTGCATCTCATTGAGATAAGTATCTCTTGTTTGACTCAGCAAGACGTCCAAAAAAAAAATCACTTTGAGCATTTAAGCCAAATATCTTTTCATTTCATTTCCTCACCAAGCGCCCTTTCTGGCATGCCTGGGTGCAGACACATACAATGGACTTTATAAATTGACTGTAATATGTAGTCTAAGCAGAATAGAGTCCTAAAATTAGAGACATGCTCGCGGTGCGCACTGTGATTTCATGGGCATTTCGCAGCAGCCAGTCCCTTCACCGCTGACTGTCTTTCACTCAGACAGAAACTTTCACTCAGTTTACTTCCCTACCGCTTTCTTTGCCTTGCCCTTCACTGCTGATCGGCAAAGGGCGCATTTACTTACCCTACCCTGCTACTCCTTTTTTTTTTTATTATTGATTGATTTCATGGGAAATCGCGGCTGATGCTGGATTTCCTGGAGATCGCAGTGATAGTGGACACTGCTGTTTCTGCGGTTTCCATGAAATCCATGAAACCATGATTTAGGTAGGTCCCTACCTAAGACGTAGTAAATCCCTCAAATGCAGGGTAAAGATAAGATACATCTTGGAAAACTTGTAGTAATTTTACTATGTGGGAAAGCTAATGTGAAGAATGTATCATGTCTGTTTCCCTAGTCTAGTGGAGGCCAGTCTTTTTGGTAAATGCACCACAAATTTGCCCTACACTGTCCCTGAGTACCACTCCATCTCTTACCTTATTTAATCTGTTGTTCTGTTTTCTGCTTCTTGCCCTGTGCTCCCTGACTGATCTGCTACTCTGCTTTCTGGTTTCTGCCCTATCTGCCATTGTCCTGCCTATTCCCTCCCCAGTCTATCGCATGTCACACACAGAGGGTACCCATGCACTTGTAGCACACCTGCCTCAGGTTAGTCACCCCTGCCCTCCTCATTGGCATTTCATGGAGGAATTGTGCTCTGTTGGAACCAGCTCCCTGACATCTAGTAGCCAAGGTCTGTAATAGCACCTACTTCAGCAATCCAGTTTGTGATTGCTGGGCACTGACAGACGTGCACTCCCCGCTTTAACTCATGGCACTTCACAGAAAGTGCCATAAGATAGTGACCCTCCAACCCAACAGACATTCACTGTTGGGTTGGGGATGGGGGGAGGGCAGAATTGCGCTCTACTTTGCTGCTGATTGAGCAAGGAGAAGCCTACCTGCAGTTTCTCTCCCCTAGCACTGCCCTTGGCCCCCTGCTTTTCTCAGTTCCAGTGCTGTCTGCGGAGGGAGCTGTGGGCTGCGGTTTGCCCAGCATGAGCTGGAGGAGGAGGGGCCTGGGAGGTGGTCAGGGGGTGGAGGGTGGAGGGGGCTCCAATCCCCTCCCCCAACTCAAGCTGGGCATACCCCAGCCTGTAGCTCTCTCTCCCTCCCCCATCCTCCCCTTCCTTCCTGCAGACAGCACTGGGGGCAGGGCTGGGCTATATCAGCCCAGCCCCTATTGCAGGCAGAGATCACAGAAGTTACCTAAGGCACTCCACTTTGAAGTGTCTTCCTCTGACCCTTCATTATATGAGAATTAATTTTTCACATGATTAGCCATTTTTAAAGCTCTCTGCTGCTGTGCATATGTGTTACAGCATGTCTATAGAGTGCTGTCAAGGGGCCAATTGCAAGACAGATGTCACTTCTGTCAGCACCCTTTGTATTCATCCATTACCAAAATGCAAATTTACTACGGATTACCATTAGTAGTAAATACTCCACACAGGAATTGTGTCAAGTGTCTGCCCCGACTGTGTCCTACACACAGGGGTTTGCCACAGATGCTCTTGGTGCAAAGATGCTTCTTGCTTCTGTTTGTTTTGTTATAGGCCCATTGGTGATCTCCTGCATTCTCCACTGATGATTGTTCCTTAATGTCTGCAGCAGCCTAGGGCTTCAGTTAGGCTACTTTAGAGGGCACTGAGTTGCTGCAGGCTTTGGTCAGGGACAGAGGGGGAAGGGCTCAAGATGAGGTTCCAACATCTCAATTTGCTTTTGGTTTAATGTTTCTGTTTAAGGCCTGCTCTGACAATGGTTTCCTCAGTGGTTTCTACCAGGATTTCAGAAGCACTATGGCAAGACATCTCTGCTGTATGTAGGCAGTACTGTACCTTTACAATGTGGAGGACTCCCTGTCCAGGTTCCCAGGGCTGTACACTCAATTGTCTCTGGTCCCATCCTCAGAAAGCCAGTCTCACAAGAGAAGGAGCATGTGGAGTTATATGTGAAGTTTCCATGGAGGTGAGAGCAATTTATTTGGCCCCAGTCTGGAGCATCCAGTGCTGAGCACTGGATGGCTGGAATTAGAAATAAAGTAAGTGGAGTCAGGACAGTAAAAGGAAAAAGGACTATTATCTGGTGGTATCTGCTCCACTTCAGCCTGATCCCTGCAACATCTTCATAGCTTTCCCAGCCAGTGAGGGTGACTGCACTGTGGTGAGGTGGGTGGTATAGTGAGTCAGGTCAATTCAGGGGAAAAGGTAGCGGTGTCTGCTGAATGGCGATGTGACTGTTTGGGATTCTGGACCCTCTTGGATTCACAGCAGTGCTCCAAGACTCCTTTCCTGATTTACTCAAGCATAGGCAACTTGTGACCCCTGATTTTCTGGCAGGGCAAAGTCAGGACAGAGCTATGATACCATTATTGGATACCAGCTGCTGCAGTAGCCATCAGATAAACAACAGAAATGTCTGCTAGCCTGACACATTTCCCTTGTATGTCTGGATTTCATTGCAACCTGCTTGGGCTGTGGAGGGGGCCCAGGAGAAGTTTTGGCTGTAGGCCTAAGAGCAAATGCAGGGGAACAGACATAGAGAAATCATCCCTTACACTGTTAACCCCACCTGAGCAAGCTGTACATAACTCTAAAAGCAGAGTCTGCAGTATTCTGGGACAGCTCCATCCTTATCACAGCATCCAGGAGCTCTGAGCACATCCTGACATAATCAGCCATGTAGGCAGTGACATAATTTAGGGGAAGATGACTTAAAGCCTCAGAGCCACAGCAGAATTGATCTCAGGCATTCATCCATGGCTGGCAGGCCCTTCACATGCTGTTGACTGGGCCCTTAAGGGAAAATTCTCCCTCCTCCTGATCTATTTTCACTCTTCACTGTCTATTGCTCTCAATGAATTATTCCTCTGTGTAAAACAAGGGCTGGGTTTGCCTTTCCCCAGTGATCCGTGTACTGTTGTAGTATTACAGTGAAGATTTTGCTTTGAGTGCTTATCTTGTTATTGACTATAATTGTTTTGACTGTTTATTTTGTTATTTTTCTTTTTATATAAGGACAATTAAAATAAAGTTAATCCTATTATGATTTACTAACCATCAAGATAAAGTTATTTAATCAATTATTATTATTTGCAACTGATCATCTATTTTACATTTCTTATTGCTTGGCATAAAATGTATTTGACATTGGCCTTATGATTTTAGACATGTTTGACTCATGACTTTAAAACTTAAATTTAGTATAAGGAAAACGTGTGTGTAAGGGTTTGTGGTATGTCTAGTGTGTGTGGACATGTCTGGTTTATGTGGAAAGAGGTAACAAAAGAATAAATGATGGGTGTGTGCCAGCGACACAGAAAGACAGGGCTCTTGCAGCAGGTGAAAATAGCCTTCTGTAGCTTAATAGTTAAGAGCTGCAGCGACTTAAAAGTCAGCAGTAAAGGATTACCAAACACTGAATCATGCTCCAACTTGATGGCTGAAGACTTCAAGTGATGGCCCCTGAAGATTGCAGACCACAAAGCCAGAAGATCATGGCCTACCAATCCCAGCTTGCCAACAGGACAAGAAGGATGGCCTTCGCATCTGACTCAGTGGAATCCATAGGCTGTATGAACAACTATTTCTATAAAGAATGAACACAAAGACAAGGCTTTGGGTCTCTTCCATCTGCAAGAAGGAGTTTTGGGTGCGTCCAACAAGACCTGACTCCAACTCTCTTGGTCAGCTTGGCCGGCCACCAGACTGACCTTGAGCAACTTTGAAACTTGGTAACACCTTAACCTTTGCAGGACTGTCTAACTTCTGTGTGTGTGTGTTTGATTCTTTGTATGAATGAATGAATGAATGAATGAGTATGCATGGGAATGAGTAAAGCAAATAACTTTATTATTCTTTATTCTTTTTATGTTGTATGTTTTATGTTTTGTGTTCCAATAAATGCAGCCTTGTGCCTTATCCCCCTGATAAAATTCTGGCTTGTTTTTAATGCACATTGTACGCCCTGTGCGCACAACACTGTTGTGAGACTCATGGTGCAGGGTGACATTTTTGGCTCATTCACCATATATTTTATGATTCCAGAGTTAATCTAGTACAGGAGATGAGAAGCAGCAACACAAGGCCTATTGCCTGCCAGGGGCAGGGGGTCAAATTAGATGGCCCGCTGAGGTCCCTTCCAACCCTAGAATCTATGAATCTATGAAGCAGGCATGTTTTACCTTGGCATGCAGGAGATGGAGAACTCCAGTTTCCAGAAGCTGAGCAATGCAGTATCTCTGGGTCAGTTGAGACAAAACCTTTGCTGCAGGAAAAGTTGCATACTGATTGGTACAGAAAATCTCCAAAGGGTCCAGAGCAGACCAAATCACCATTTTCAGGAGCCACCAAATTCTGGCACTGCACAGCTGAGGGAAGGAGAAAGTAGGAGGTCACTTCACAAGGACACCAATGATCATCACTGTGCTGGACAATGAAATCCTATCTCAGGAATGTGCCTCAAAATGTGCCTTCAGGAGAACTTCTTTAGGCAAATAATGAATTTACCCAAAAAAGTGCTTTGCATCCCCAAGCCATTTGTGATTCTGACTCACACTGACTTCTCAGCTGGAAAAGAAAAAAGGGAATAGATTCATAAAACTGCTAGGACTGTTTATGTCCCCCTTGTGCCTGGGTTTGACCACTTATCCAGACCGTGAGAGACCCAGGTTCAGTTTCCTTCATTTCTCCTGCACCTAAAGGGACCTGAACCAACATCCTGCTCTGAGCACAAGGCTGCAGGTTGTTCTGGAGTGGGGCCACTCAGTCTCACTGTTGAGCCCATTCCTCCTTGTCTAGCTAATAAAATATTCACTGGAGCAGGGAATGGTACCCTAGGGGTCCACTTAGACAACTGCCCTAACCACTCAGGTGTAGAGTCATTTTGCAGATTAAGGCTCCCATGGGTGAGGGAGGGAGTGGGGTTGGGGCAGGGGCAGGTGCTGCACAGCCAGCAGGGCATGGGACAGAGCCACGGCTTGTCCGGGGAGCGCAGGGGGCAGGGAAGGGGGGTAGCTCCCGCCACTGCGTGCAACCCCAGGGCAGGCATGGGAGCGTGTGCCTGTGCGCAGTATGAAGGCAGGCTAACACTGCATGCTTGGGGCCAGTGGCAGTGCTGGGAAGGTGGCTACGGGGGGGGTTACAGCTCCCCAAAATTTGCTATAGCCCCCTGTTCCAGCACTGCTGCCACCCACCCAAGTGCAGCCCCGGCCCAGCCCCCTCTGCCAGGAAAAGCCCAGCCCTGAGTGCACAGTGGCAGCCCGCCCTTACCCTGCGCACAGATCAAGGGGCACCCCTCCCCCGTGCCTCCCCCAGGGGTGCACACAGTGGTGGGAACCACCCCCTCTCCCCATCCCATTCCCCTGCATGAACCAAGGCTCTGTCCCATGCCCCACCTCCCAGATGTGCACCATCAGTGTCTGCCCCTCCCCCTGCCCCAGCCCCACTCCCTCCCTCACCGTGGGGGCCTCGATCTGCACCCCATGCCCCTTCCTCCCCACAGATTTACCAGCCTGTTTCTGCTGCTCTCCAAGCTGCCAGGCTGCATATCAGCAATTGGATTGGTATTGGCAATATGGCTCGTTAATAACTGACCATCAGTATTGGCCTAAAAAATCTATACCGGTGCACCCTCAGTTTGATTCCCCTTCCCCCTCCATGCCCCCCACCAAAAAAAAATAATTAAAAAACGGTCAGATTATGGCTATAAGGATGGACTGTAGCACTTTTCTAGATGAGTGGTCTTAGCAGAAAGTCCTCAGTCACTAATTTTTGTTTCCCTTTTTTAAAATTCTAATGCTTCTGAAAGGCAACTTACATTTAAACACAGAGACAGGCCTGCAGACTTGGCTTCACTTTTTTGTATTATCATGTAAACCTTTAAAACTTGATCTCATTAGAGTCATGCACCACTTTGTGCACGATGCTCCTCCTTCACTTCTACTCTTTCTTACTGCATCCCCTGTTCAAACTATGTACACTTACCTATATGTGTGTATATATGTACACACCTACTTGTCTATATATACCTTATAGACCCTGGCTTGAACACAGACATATCATCAATGACATCTAAACCTTCCTGCAAAAGGATGACCATCTCAAAGTAGTCATGGGGGACAAACTAATCCTTACATACAGACAGCCTTCCAACCACAAATGACTTCTCTCAAAGAACAGGCTTTCTAGTCTTACTGCGGCCCCAGGCCTTACAATGGACCCAAATGCCTTCTGTGTCCCAACATCAATACAGACCACATCATCACTGGACCAAATAACATGGATTACAATATCCAGGCCAAATACAGACATTACACCTTTACTGGTATAAGTGATCTGAAACCAGTTTATACCCATAATAGAACAGAAGCTCAACACACACAGACTGGGTTAAAAATGGCAGAACCTGATCTAAGATTTGCAACCCTCCCTAAAGGGCGAATGTGTGTTCTGTTCGCTACCAATCTGAACTATTCCATTTACAGAAAACTGATACTGATTCCACTTCGTGCTTTTTGAATGCATGTACCTAGCCCCAAGGTTCATGCACTTTCAACTTCAACAGTGTCATATACACAATCACTCTGATTACAGTGCCCCTCTGCTTTCTACATTGAGCAGACTGAATGATCCCCATATTAAAAAACACTACTCTGACAGCAGCTGTAGAAAGATGCAAAAGTCTGTGGGAAAACACTTCAGCCTCCCTGGACACTTCATCACCGATCTGAGGATGGCTGTTTTCAGGCAGAAAACTTTAAAAAAGAGATTTGAATGGGAAATTGTGGAACATGAAATCATCCACAGACTCAATTATGTTAAATATGGTTTAAATAGAGATTATTATTACCCCATTATGTGAGTTAGCTTTGGTGATCCCTCCTATGAGTTTAATGTGTGTTTGCTTGTCTCTCATCCTCTCCCCCCCTCATCTCTCTCTCTCTTCTTGTCTTTTTTATTCTAATTTCTCTCTCCTTCTTATACTCTGCTTTCTGCATGTCCCATCACAGCATCTAATGAAATGAGCTACAGCTTACAAAAGCTTATACTATATATCTATATCTTTATCTATTGGTCAATAAGGTGAAAATCTACCCTACCTTCTATTTGACTTCAGACTAACACAGCTAACTGTGTGTGTGTGTTATTATATATTATAGTATATATAATACATATATTATTATATATATTATATATACTATAATATATATGCACTATATATATATATAGTATGCATATATATATATATATATATATAGTACCCCGCCCAAAATAATTTAAAGAGGCAAGGATAGTTGTGGTTTATATCTTTTATTGGACAAACTGCCTGGTTGGGATAGACTTAGACAAGCTTTTGGGTATTACAGTACATATGGTCTGAGGTCCAAGGAAGAGACTGTGGTACCTAAAAGTTTGCCTAGGTCTATCTCAACCATGTAGTTGGTCCAATAAAAGATATCACCCACAAAGATACTTGCCCCTCACATATTTAGTGGACCATCATGGCAAGAACATCACTCACACATGACCAAATCATTTATACTCTTTAGAGATCAAAATGGAAAACCCTATTAACTCACATCTAGAAGCCAGTGCACATTTGTTATGTACAGCTTTGAAATGTCTTTGTCCTGTTTAGGTTCCATGAACCTCAGTCCTTAATTTCCTCCTGGTCATGCTAACTACCCATTACACACAACCCTCAGCCACACTCTGGAGTACTCTACCTTGGCAGGCTGGCACTTCTGCTGTCCACTTGCCAGATGCTGTGCATTGCAGTGTTTCATCTCCACTCAACTTGAAGCCAGATTCACAAGTGAATTTACAGCTTGATTTAAAAGCAAAATCACCAACTCCAAGAGTGTCCATGCAGTTCATGGCTCCTCTTTCAGGGGGCTTAATACCCTGGCATTGTTTAGCTGCATAAGAACAAAAAGACCATGGACACAAGTGTCACCTCCCAGAGCCTGTAAGAAGCAAAGAGGGGAAGGTGGCAGGAAGGGCAGCAATGGAAAGCAAAAGGGCACCTATAAGGACACTGGAATAATGAACAGATTTCACAGATTATTAGGCCAGCAGGAACCATTAATACTATCCTGTCTGAGCTCCTTTTAGGTTACCCCTTTGGGCCTTGTTTCCCCATCCACAAAGTGGCAATGGTAATACTGATTTAATTTCTGAAGTGCATTGAGATTGACAGATGGCAACCATCATGTAGGACCTGCCACCTGTGTCTATCCTTCAAAGGGAAGGGGGGCCTGAGGAAGCACATTTGGTGCCCAAAAGCTTGTCTAACACCTCTCCCAACTATACAGTTGATCCAGTAAAAGGTACTGCCATATAAATCCCCCTCCTTGGGTATTCCTTGGATGATCACAGTTATCACCTCACTACTACAACTTAGAAGTTATCAAAGTTATTTATAACAGAAGCTTACTTTTTTCCTATTAGAGCTCCCTGTGTAAAAACTCTGGCTCTTCATGGACCCAGTAGCATAACTGAGGGGCAGCGGTGGTGACTAGGGCAGCAGCCCCAGTCTCCACCAGTCTGGGAGTGGGGAGTGCAAAAATAGCTATCACTGCAGCTGCAGCAGCCACTGACCACATTGTTGTCATGGGCCCAGCAGCAGCCTCATGCATCATAGCTGTTCTAGACATGGAGTTGCCCAGCTATGCTTCTGCACAGACCTGCCTGGTCCTAGCTTATCTATTCTAGCACTATATTGTGCACAGAGGGTTCTTGAATGAGAACCAGGGAAAAGAAAAGTGCATGTAAAGTTCAAGTTAGCCAGCAGCAGGGAGCTTGTTCTGTTCTACAGCTCTGTAACACCCCTGAGCACCCTACCCCGCTCAGGCAAGCCTTCTGCTCCAATATAAGGCTCTTGATTTCTCACCCTGAAAACTTGGCTGTTCCATTGGCAAATTGTTTTATTCTTATGTCCACAAACTCAGATGATTGTGAACTGCCTCAGCAGCTTGGTGGTTCAGAGGGCACTTGAGTAAGGATGATCCACAGATTCTGTTATGAAAGGCTATGGACAGCGCCTGTTGTACTAGCCCCTTTACAAATCCTGGGAGTTTTGCTGGACTCCCTGAACCCTCCTTCAGTAAGGCAGGCTCCCCACAGTAACAGGGTGATGAATGGTCAAAGAACTGCATGGTGCTTCCTACTATATGGGGAAGTTGGATGCAGGCTGCCCGAGCCTGAAGACCCTCTGGGCAGCAGACTTTAACATTGCAGGACATTGTCCTGCTGTCTCTACCAGCAGTTTCAGCTCCTCAAAGCTGCACTGGTCACAGATGCTTTCCACTGTGGCAGCCCCCCATAAAATCAGATGTCACATTTTTGAGGAGGCCCACAAATCATTTTCTGCCACCTCCAACCAGCAGAGATTTCTGTGCGCTGTGATCATATCGCTGGGCAGAGGGTTAGCTGGGGCTGTCAGGGAGGGTAAACTGGAGGGTACTTTGCATTCACCTCAAAGCTATCTGTTCCCACAAAGCTCTGCCTCTCATCACATATCTGATCTCAGTTTTTATCATGTTTCCACTCTCAGTGCTGCTGGCCTGCACCATCTGGTTGGCCAATTTCTATAACCACTTCATGCTTACTTCCACACTTTCCCTTCTGCTGTGCTTTCCTGAACTTGATTTGAACAGATACAGGGGGATAGCAACTGGATGCAGGGAGCTGAATACAGACACTGGGGAAAACACCAGTGAAATGTGGTGTCTTCTTCTGGTGTCCAGACTTTCAAAAGGGGTAAAAGAATTAGAGAAGGTTCAGAAAGATGCTGCAAGGTTCATTCAAGTTCTGGGAAATCTGCCTTATGTGGAACAGCTGGAGAAGCTCCATCTGCTTATCTTATCCAATTGAAGAAGGTCAAGAGACTGCTGGATTTATAGATTTTAAGGTCACCAGGGACTGTTTTGATTATCTAGCTTGACCTCCAATCCTTATTTAGAATTCAAGTGCTCTGGGAGGCACCACATCCCTTGCTCATTTGTTTCAAGGATCCACTACCCTCCCCGTCAGGAAATTCCCCCTTTTCCTAGATAAATTTCTCCAGCTTCCACCTCCAGTGCTGATCTCATTCTGTTGCTCATTGTTCAGCCAAGAAGTGGCTTTTCCATATGTTGCCGATAGCCAAAAGCTTAAGCTGCTCTGGGATACAAAGGGATTGCCCCTTCCAGGGATGCTCTTGGTCTAGGGTCTCCCCCAGTACTCAGGGGTCTTTGAATACAATTTTGCACAGCCCAAAGCTCAGCCCTGTGAACATCTGATGACTAGCATCAAGCTTTCCTTCCTAGCACTGGGTTTGTGCTGGTTACATTTCCAAAGGCAACAGCTTGATGAATTGGATTAAAAACTCAGTATGTTTGAAGATGGAAGTAGAGGGTCTCCTACTACCTCTTTTGGGTATGCCTGGCAGATGTCCCATCCTGTACATACATTAGGTAAATGCATGCCATGTGGTCCTTTGAAGGCACAAAGACACTCTGTGCTGTGTGCAGCAAAGCCATAGGTCCCCTTCTTTCTTTACTGCTAAAGGCCTTTTATCCAGACCCTGGAGCCATTTCCCAAAAGGTCGGATACAAGCTAGGTGCAGAGCTGGAAGCCACAAAAGAAAGAAATGGCTACATCAGCCCAGTACAAAAACAGAATTTCCTGGCTGGCCTGCTGTTGTTACTCTCTAGGGGTAAGTGGTGGAGCTCCTTAGGAGGTCCTCAGCCCCAGCAGCAGCATTTGCTTCTCCGTGGCCTCCTTGCCCAGTTTTTGTGGAAACATGTCCTGGCCTTTGCAGATTGAGGACCTTGAAGAACAAGTGAGCGCTTGGTGAGGGGGAGCAACAAACAAAAGAAGATGGGCTGACTATGGCAGGCAGGACTTTGAGTGCAGTTCTGCTCTGTGGAGGGAAAGGTACAACTTCAGAGCTAAAACAAACAACCCATGAGAGGATAAAGTCAGCCAGATCATACAAAAACAAGTAGCAAACTGATAAATCGTTCAGATAAGCTGGTAAATCATTCAGGATTGTATAACCCCCAAACAGATGAAGAGATTAGATAGGTCTCTAGGACAAAACAGCACTGCAAATGTTGCATGGGAAACAGTATTAGATACTAATTTTAGCCTGGGCTGTAGAGCCTGGGGGTGGAGATTTGCCCAATTTCTTATGAACTTCTGAGGCATTTGGGGAACTCAGCCTTGTAGGATCAGTGAATCTCAGTCCAAATGCAGCATGAGCTCTTTTCTTTGGGGATTGGGAGGCCTCATATTCGCACTATTATGTTCCTACCTGTACACTCTGGAGTCTCTCCGGACCAGTGTCCTGAAGCCAAGCACTGCAGCATGTCCCTCCCTTGTCGTTCAAAGCCCTCCTTGCAGTGGAACTTGCAGGTGGAGTTATAGCTAAAATTCCCCAAGGGGTGGCTGCAGTCCATGTTCGTTTGTCCAGGGTGAAGTTCTTGGCATGTTACAACTAAACAGAAGACACAATGCAACTAGCTCATTTGTGGTTATTTTAAGCACACCTGCCTGAAGAGGTTTCCCAAATCCCCAGCCTTGCCAGAGGCCATGTCTGGTAGCTGAACAGAGGCTGAGGGCCCCTGTACCTGCTAGGTAAGAGACTTGGCTTTGGTCTCCTGCTCAGGGAGATGTTGCATATACAGCCTAGCATGGAGACACAAACCCATGGGGACAGCATGCTTAGCCCCTAAGAGGGACAGTGGTGGTTCATGCTGCTCAACAGTGCCTCCTCCAGACTGACAGAGGAATGGGAATATGGCCCTGCTCCTCAGGAGGACAAATTGCTCTGGCTCTTGCTTCCGGGGCTTGAGCTGGGGCAGGAGACTTTTATAAGGTGGAGGGGTCAGGTGCTTTGGGAAGTTGCTGGGCCCATCAAACTGTTCCCCTTTGTTCCTCATGGGTGCTCAGGCCATTGCCCCACAATCTTTCTGTATGAAATAGGGAAATGAAGATATGTCTTTTTCCCTGCCATGACAAAAATGAATGATCCCAGTATAGCAACTATAATACCTGCCACCCCAGGGTTCCCTCTTTCATCAGCCCTCAGCCCAGGGTCTGGCTGCACTCACCAAATTCACATTCAGGCCCGTAGAAGCCAGGGTAGCAGTCACAGGTGTAGTTCCCTATGGTCTCCACACACTCGCCTTGCTGGCTACAGGAGAAAGTGTTGCAAGAGGCTGCAGAGATACAGCTGGGTTAGGTTCCACCTCACAGCCGAGACCCAGCACCACAGTTCAGCTCCCAGGGATCCATCAGTCCCAAAACTGTCTGGACTCATGCATTCCATCCTGACTATGCTTACTCATGATGGACCCCTTGCTAAGCCCTCTAAAGTCAATGGAAAGACTCCCACTGGCTCTGGTGGGCTTTTGCTCTGGCCCTGCAAGATCATTTTGGTGCTCCAGAGGTAATTACATTTTGTGGAAGCAGCAGCTGCTTTGCCTGAAATAGACTGGATGCAAAGTTCCTTCTTTTGACATAGCTACTTCAGATAGAGCTGCCTGAGGTTTAGATTAAGCATGAAGACTCTATTTTGTCTCCAACAGGTGAGTGAGAACACAGGCTCCAAGTGTTGCCAAGACACAGGTACCTCAATGGGCAAAGGGGGCTTTGGGACAAAATGAATGCTAAGGTCAAAGCAAGACTGATTCCATACCCAAGGCCTGCTTCAGCTTCTCACTCTCTGTACCACCATTTATGAGGAAAAACCTTAGGATAGGAGTGACTTGGAGAAACAGGGTCGGGGCATAGAGAGGACCAAGACAAGCAGTTGCTTTCAGGGTGATGAGCATAGGGGATGTAGGCCTGCCCTTACTAGACATGGGTGGCTGTCACAAATGCCTATCGCCAGAGAACCCTAATTAACCCCTTCAGGTCAAAGATTGAATGGGCCATGGAGACAGACTAACCCTAAGGTGAGGGTTGGAGCAACCTGACTGGGAAGAGTAGGCTAATTTGCTGTTTCAAGCTGTCCTATTTATATGGTTGTTACCTTTGTAACACAGCGCCTTCTTTTTCTTATTGCAGCGCTCATCATTCCATTTCCCTGCCTCCTTGTCCCTCTTGATGTATATCTCTACACAATCTTGGCTGGATCCTTTATTATTAGGCTCTTTTTCAGCCCAGTTCTCAGCCTCTTTTGTCAGGGGTTTATTGGTCCCAACCCAGGTCCAGATGTCTTCTATCTTCCGTATCCCAATCCAGTAGTAGGTCTTACTGTAAGGTAAGGTTCGGTTGAGATACTCAATTTCTGCTTTGTTCTGGATTGCCACGAGGTCAGTGAAATAAGTTTGACAATATTTCCTGGCGTTTTCCCATGTGTAGTCATGTTGGTCAGTATAATGGTACGTCCAGGCGTCCACTTCCACCTGAGTTGCAAGCACTATTGGAGACAATAACAGACAAAATTGGGAACAAAATGGGTTACCAGCAGTGGCAGGAACACTATTTGGTTATCAATGAAGAGCCCCAAATTATTTTCTGAAGGTTTAAGCAGCATAATCCACTGTGATACTTCCCACCATAAGATCATGTTTCCAGTTGCTTATAACTTTGTCAAACTATAAGTCACTGGGCCAAACCTTCTCATGTTTCAGGCCAAATTATTTCTGTCTTTCTTTGAAAGGTTTCAGCCAAAGCAGTTCAGGTGTTCCTAAGAAAAATGCTATATGTGCACATATGTGGTTTAGCCCACATGAAAATATTCTGGTGATATCCCCTCTAATGCTAAGAGAATCCAACACTCCCAGGCCTCACCATTCCTATACTGAACTCCTGTTGGTACTTCCTGGTTCAATGAAAATCTCCCAAAAGGAGGCATCTCAGATATCAGAAAACTCATTGCAGTGCTTCAGAGATCAAGTCTTATGCTGATGTTGTACAAGTCCTCAGCCAACAAAGAAGTACCAAAAGGATTTCCCAGGGAGCAAAGCTGCTTAACTTATGATAGCCTGAACCAGGAAAATACTGCTCCTGTACAGTCCAAGGATTGTAGCACTGCATTAAAGTAGCTAAATGACTTCTGGCTTGGGAGCCTGCCCACACTGGAAGGAGTATTTCTGGCTTGGGGTCACCAATTTAGAGGGGTTTTGTGAATGCACCAATTGGCTTTGCCTCTCAGCTGAGCTTATTCATGCACTTGCAACAACCCATGAAGCTGGTTATTCTCTTTCCAGATCAAAAACTTGTGTGTCTGGAAAGGGATGCAGATCATTGCACTCTGGTGTTGCCTGGCATCATGGTGAAGTGGTATGAATTTGTCCAGGATAAAAAAATTAAACTGGTATAAAATCCTAATTGTTAAAATCCTTAAGGCGCCTAGGACAACTCCCCACCCCCCATGTTCAGATTGTTCCAGCCCAAGACATATTTTGTAGTTTTAAAGGGGCAGGGGAGGAAGGAATTTAAGAAATTTCCTTAAAACAGTCCTTTACAAATGGCTTTTGGAGGGCAGCAAAAATGTGTACAGTTATGTAATTAAAATTTCCTTTCGCAGCTTTATCTAGTGACTAGAAACAATGTTTGATTCCAGAAGTGGATCTGAATATTCTCAATGACTGAAGTTCTTTGGATCTGGAAGTGGCTTCAGGTATCAATAAATTGAAGCCAGAAGGCACTTTGATAGGTTTCATAAAAGTGAATGTTTGAAAAATCAAGTTTCACAAAAGTGAAGAAGCTGGCAAAGCTTACACATGATCAGGAAGAAAAAAAAAACCAACCGGAAATCTAGCTTGAAACTTGGCATGGAACTGAAGGTGACTTAACTGAAAAACACAGCATGTATTTGTGTTAGTTCTCATCATTACTTAATTAACTCAAGACATCACTACCACCACTGCAGTCCAGTGTCTCAGTCACAATAAACTATATGAAAATAGTTTTGTGGTCGGATAAAGTCTTAAATCAGTGGGGGCCAAACTTTTGGGCATGCATACCATAAATTAAGCCCTGTGCCCTTCCAAGTGCCATGCTGATGCCATTCCCCTGCTTGATCCGCTGCTTTGTTTTCTGCTCCCTGCCCTTTGCTCCTCACCTGATCTGCAGTTCTGTTTTTGCTCTCTGCTCTCTGTCATTGTACTGCTTGCCTCCTCCCTGATCTGCTATGTGCCACACAGAGGCTGTCCATGTCACTTGTGCTGCATGCTGCAGGTTGCCTACCCCATCTTAAATAATAAAGTACACTGACATGCCTTCATCTGTGGCATCCAGTTCAGGGAACATATCAAGTTCAGAGGTCTTAATATCATTTCAGGGTTTTTTACTTCTCTATGTTGCTCAGCAAAAAACAAACAACCCCCCCCAAAAAACCCAACCCCTCCCAACCCAAAAACCAATAGTACACAGGAAATGCCATTTTGTTCCAAAAGACAGTCATATTGAAATTATACAGAAAATGAAAAGTCCAGAAAAAATTGGTTCAGAAATATAAAATCAGTTCAATGTTAAGCTGCATCTGCCTATGGTATTGCAATGTCTCATGGGAGCTAAAGTTCAGGAACCCCATTTCTATTCCCAAGTGGGACAGAGTTTATGGCTGGTCTATCTTTCCCAAGCTGTTTCTACAATTATGTGATTCACGTGATGTACCATGCAGCTCCATCAGTGAGAAGTCTGTGGTGCATTGTGGAAGATATAACCTGCAAGAAGTCAGACTCCCTGGAGAAAATCTGAGCATGAAGCACCCTAACTGTAGCTTCCCTGGGACATCATGGCACCTTGGACGGAGTATGATCAAACTGATTCAAAGTGGAACATTTCGGTTCAACAAACCCAAGTGTTTGGATTTGCATCAAGCTGACTTGAAAGAAAATATTTTACTTCAGTTTTCTCAATTAAAAAATGTGGCAAAAATCTGAATTTTGCCATAGGAATTTTCATGGAAACCGCATTTTTCTTGAAAAATAATTTGAGGGAAACTTTCCAACTAACTAAATTTCTAGCCCTCTCTCCTGCCATGTAAAGATTGTCCAGAAATCATCAGAATTTGGTCCTCCATTTGAGAATGCGCTGCTAAATGTAGAGGAGAGAGCAGTTAACAGAATGCATCCTGTTATTTGTACATGAACTGAAACATGAACCTGGTTTGCATTTAAAGAGCTTGGTCATCTTTCCATTCCGCTGATTGCTCATTCTGTGCTCCAGACTCTACATATCTGTCAGGGAGGGCTCTGAAAGTGAAAAAGTCAGAAGCACAGGTTTCAAACAACTGTTTGGGTGGTATGTGTAGCTCAAGAAGAAGCAGGATCTGAAATCTTACAGGTCATCTCCCCAGGAGATGCAGACCTCAGCTTTGTTGACACAAGACACACAAGGGATTCAGTTTGGGATCTGGAATGTTGCCTGCTTGTTTAATGACAGCCATAATAATACTGGGCCTTCTGAGGTTCACAAAATCCCACAGGCCTCTTCCAGCTCTTGTGCTTGGGTTCCAGCTGGAACCTGGGAGCGTAATCTAGATAAATGACTGAAAAAGTAAGCAGAACGTATGCGAACTAGTGGAAATGAGAGTCTGGTTCAGCAAGTGCTTTGGAAAAGGATTCAGGCATACAACTTTTCCCAGCTCCTGTACTCATTCCAGGGTCCAAAGAGACAATGAAGATTTTTCAGTGCAGGCCATGCCAAACTGGTAGGTCATGGATGAAAGTGATTCTCAGAAGATGCAAAACCAGCTTGCCCAATAACATTTTTCTTTTTCTTTTGCTGCTTCTTGCTGAGGAAAAGCCACTTTTGGGCAGCAAGAGTCAGATCCTTGCCTAGTGCATATCAATATTGATCTCTTGAGGTTCGTGTAACTGATTTACATCAGCTGAAACTGGCCCTAGCTAGGTATGAAGCATGTTCCTGTTAAGAGAGCACTTGCTACAGTTTACACCTAATTTCCTCATGAAAAATACCTCTCAGGAGAGCTCTGAATTGGAGACAAGATCTGGATCAACATGTGCAGCTCAGCCCATGCAAAAAGCACCAGCATGTCTACGACCATATCTGAGCATGGGAGGAATATAGAAGCATCTTGAAAGATAAAACTTTCCTTTTTCCACAACAGTAGCATAACTAGGGCAGGGTGAAAGGGGGTCCCAACGCAGGCACTGACTATGAGGAGGCGCCAGAATCCCCCTTACCAGGAGTCTCTGTTGCAGCACAGAGTCACAGAAGTTTAGGGCTGGAAGGGACCTCGTGAGATCATTGGGTCCAGCCCCCTTGCTCTGGGTAGGAAAGACTGCTGGGGTCAAATAACCCCAGTCAGGTGTGCATCCGGTCTCCTTTTGAAGATCTCCAGGGTAGGTGCCAGCTGCACCACTCCAACTGGGAGTCTATTCTAGAGCCTGGTCACATGAACTGTGAAGAAGTTTTTCCTTATATCCAGTCTAAAACCTGCAGGAGAAGTGCTGAACTGCCCACGTCTGCCATAGGAGCTGGGCAAAGCAGGGCCACATGAAGCAGTGCATCTGCAGGGTAGGGGGAGTGAAGCAAGGGGAATGGTGCTCCCCTCCCTTCCTGCTTTCCTCTGACCCTGCACAAGCCTTTGCAGTGGCAGTGGAAGCCTTGCACTGCCTCTGCTTGGCCACAGGAGCTACACCAAAAAGTGTATCTGGGTGGTGAGTAGGGTAAACAGAATAGTGCTTCCCACCTCATCTCCCCTGCCCCAGTCTCCTGTGGGTGGCATACCCTCATCACTGCCCCCACCCCCATGCCAAGTGCTCAAGGAGTCCCCTATACCACTGTTCCACAATGGGTAGGGGTTGTACAGGAGAGGAATACAGCTGCTTCCAGCTGTACCATTCTCAAGGGAGAGGTAGTAACTGTCAAGCTTCAAAGCTCAGGCTGTCTAGTCAAGGCACAATCTTAACACAATCTGTGACCTTTTGCAACAAAGCAGGGCCCTACTTTGGTGGGGTTTTGCCTGACAGCCTGAACAGCACAGTTATCACAGCTCTGGGAAGGAAGCCTTTTTGTATTTTCACAGTACAAACAGGGAATGACTGTGCCAACAAACACAAGCAAGCCCTTTCTCCATTAACACTCTCCCTACAGCAAGAGATGATGCTGGAAATGGAGTAGAGGCTCTTCTATGGCAGACATGATGCTAGAGGTGAGGAGTAGACCCAGGTAAGACCCTTTCAGAGGGGAGACCTTAGGGGGGTTTCTGACCCAGCTGGGTGACTGGGAGCTAAAAGGAACTGTGTACAGGCCACTATCATTGTAAGTAGTGTGGAAGCATCTGGCTCCCTCCAGCTTGGGCATGGAGTTGTATTTGGTAGGCAGTTATTAGTGACTCTCTACCTCAGCTTCTGGGGTCCCATAGGGGTAAAGAACAAAGATAAGGGGTAAGAAGGGAAACAATTTAATTCCTTACACATGGATTTAAAAGTCCTGCTTTAAGTACCCCAGCATGGGAAGCATAGGTGACTGGTGGGGCGGGGGCGGCACAGGGGGCATGTGGCCCCCTGACAGGGCCATCTCTCATTGCTGCTGGGTGCTTGCCAGCCCCCTCCCTGCCACTGACACCGCCGGCAGCTTCTGCATGTGCTCGCCATCCCCATCCCCGTTATTGCCGCTGGCTTCTGCAGGTGCCCCCCTAGACTCAGGAGGCACCAGTTGCCCATGATGGGAAGTATGAATAAAACAAAATGGTGTATTCCAGCAAATCTGGCTGCAAAATGTCAGGTGCCATGCTAGAGTGGCCCCAGGCAGTCTTAAGGGGTGTCACAATAGCTGCACTTCCCTTCCTAAACTTTCCCATAAATAAAGGCCAGCAGAACCTGCCAAAGCAGATCTCCCCACAGCCAGTGAAGAGCCACAGGAAGGCTTACCCCAGCTAATGGCAATGAAGCACAAGAGTCGGGTACTGTTCCAGCCACAGCTCCAAGATCTTCGACTTGAGTCAAATCCTATAGCAGTGCCCTGGGGAATCAGAAGAACATAGGAACATTAGCCTGCTGGAATGTCACACCAGGGTGACACAATAACACCTCCTCACCCCCATCACTGTGCATTGTACTGGGCCGGTGCACACACTACTGGCTACACTGGGCTGCTCCTGCCTTTTCATTTACATTGACATTGCAAATAAAATGCAGATTCCAAGAAGGCAGAAGATGGGGGGGCCTCTGAGGGGGGAGAAAGGACAGAAGATGGGGGGCCTCTGAGGGGGGAAAAAGGACATGGGGAAAGGAAAGGGATGGACATTTAGGCAACTGATCAGATTAAGCAACATGACTCCATCACAGTTTGCTAATTGGTGTAGTAGACAGCAAAGAGTGGTGTGGCATGAAATCTTATTGGCCAGTGTAGGTAGGGAAGCAAGTTTTGTTAATAAATTAGCTGAAGCATGTGCATATTGGTAACTCTGAACAACAGCCAAGTGTACTTGAGAACTCTCCACAGCCAAGCAATGTGGTAACCAGTCATGGAATTGAATAAAACTGAGAGCTTTAAGCTGCCATGACAGGACACTCCTTATTCAGCACGAGCAGAGGCAGGACACAAGGGAAAAGCAACCCATCAAGGTGGAGGAGTATGGTCTGCAGGAAGGAAGGGTGAAGGAGATATCATCATCTTCATAGTGACAGGCAAGAAGGTAGGATGAGAAAAAAGCAGCTTGGCCAGGCAGCTTGTGAACTGAATTGCAAATCAAGGCATCCCAACTACGGTTGATCCAGATGCCAGACAAGATGTAAGAATTCTGAAATCCTTTCCATCTAATGAGCTTTCAGCTAGGTAGGTTTCCCCCCAACCGTCCAATTTTTTTAATGTTCTGTGGACAAAACTCATTTTTCACTTGATCACAAAGGAAATAACAATGGAGAAAAGGTGCCATGTGATGACCAGGGCCTACGGGAGGCGGGGAATGAGGACACAGTTGTATCAGGCCCCCAAGCTTGCCCCCTCAATGAGAATTTTCTTTATTAATAAATATCAAAATATAATGAGTAAAATTGATAAAATAAAATGCAAGTAACTTGTGTGTAAATAAAATAGAAGTATCAGCTCTAAAATATATATTGCAAAAGTTATGAATTCAGCTAAGAATTACTCTATTTTCTGTTACTCAAATGGAAGTGTATGTGAAAGTGGGTGGGGGGAGAGGGTGATACCATAATGGACTGAGCCCCCCACAATTTCTCTCACAAGCTCTGGGGGTGACTGATTAATCAACACTGGCCCCAGAAGAGGGACTCCAACACATGCAAACCAGCTCCAGCAAATGACGGCGGCTGAACAGAGCTAAGCCACAAGACACAAAGGTCAACAACAAATGTGAAGAGCAGGCACGGAAAAGTCAAGCATGGAGAATCCAAGCACGAAAGTAAACCAGAAACCAGATGAAATTCCTACTTGCAGGATCCATCAAGCATTTCTTTTTTTCTTTTTCAAAAAAAGCAATATTTCAAAGAAAAAAATGGTTTTCAATTTTGCAGGACAAAAACCCTATTTTTGAAAGCAGGTTGCTTTTCAACAAAAAATATTTTCATTTCTAAAGTCATGGGTTCTGGTCACAGCTGCAATCCCAACTACTTGTAAGACCTGGACTGAACCATATACACAGCCTTTGGGATATGATTCCCCACACACCCTATGCAGATGTTTACACCTGTATGAACAAAGTGACTGTCAATGTGGAAAGGAGCATTTTGCACCCAGTTGGGTGCACACGGATGGGAAGGTTTGTATGAGATGGCAGGAACTTGTGAACAGGCTTCCTCAGCTTCCATTTCTCCTACCTGTACAGGGACCAGAACATGCACTTAGGCATTTCCTGAGTGTCAGTAAAAGGAGACTAGGAGATGCTGAGTACTTTGTGACTTCTAGGACACCAGTGCCAGCATGTGGGCTGAGGGCAGATTTCTCCTGGGTATAGCAGGAGCAATGCTGTAATGCATTATGTGACCAACTTGCTTTCCCACCTGGTTAAACCATTACCAAACTCCAGGCCTTCTTCCCCCATATGCTGTCAAGATTCTTTGGGTAAACGTGATATCTTTTATTAGACCAACTAAATAGTTGGGGAAATTGTTCTTTGCAAGCTTTCAGGTGCAGATGCCTTTCTTCAGGCATAGGGAGAGTCTGCTGGTGCTTTGTGCTCCCCTGGATAGAACAGAAGCCAATATGCAAAATACAGGTCTATGAAAATGCAAATACGTGGCAGACAATGTTCTTTGGGTAAATCTGATATCTTTTATTAGACCAACTCAAATAGCTGGAAAGGTATGGCAGTAAGGATCAGAGGCCATGGGAGACAATAGGTGTGAGAATGGTGTGGGGAGGGGAAAATGTTGACCTGGTGATAGAACGTATCTGGTAAAATGTAGAGAGGCTCCCTGGGGTTTCTTGGTTGCAGGCAGGTTATAATGTGCCATAAATTCAATATTTATATTTAGTCCATGATTTTTTGTATCCAGTAGATTTATAAATTGAAGTTCATGGGTTCATCAATGAAAGGTGCTTTGTAAATGCCCTTTGAGGATTACAACTGAGAGATTGGAGAGAGAGTGGTTGTCTTGTGAGAGGTGTGCACACACAGGTAATTGGGTATTATTGTCTTTGACAGATTTTTGGTGGGGTCAGCATTCCCCCTCCCACACATCTACCTGTTTCACACCTATTGTCTCCCATGGCCTCTGATTCTCATTGACATACATTTGCATTTTCATAGACCTATATTTTGCATAATATCTTCTATTCCATGCAGGAGAACACAAAACACTAGCAGACTCTCCCTATGCCTGAAGAAGGGTGTTTGTGCCCAAAAGCTTGAAAAGGACAATTTTTCCAACTATTTAATTGGTGTAATAAAATATATCACATTTACCCAAAGAACCTTGTCGCCTATGTCCTTAGACCAACACGGCTACAACCAACACCCCCATATGCTGTGGCACTTTAATAGCAGTGGCTGAACCACGCTGTTGCACAAGGAGCTGAGAAAGAGGAAGCTTTAGCTGATTAGGGGCTTGGTGAGGAGGAGGTAGAGGGGGGAAGGTTCAATGTTCTTTGGTCCTCAAAACTCAGGTTACTTATGGATGCATATTGTTGGCTGATTCTTTTTGGCAATCTCCTGAGGCTGATATACTTCATACTCATGCTTGGCTAGCAGTGATACATTAAATCATGCTGTCTTCAGCTCTCTTGCCCATCTTACCTGCTCTCCCTAGACCCATGCCCATTACAGGGTCTGCTGCTACAGGTGCCAGAGGCTCCTAATAACCCCCTCCCAGGTGAATGGAGGAGTGGGGACAGAGAACAAAGTCATTTGATTCCATATGCTCTGGTGGGAAGGTAGAAATAAAGGCAAGGGAGCAAGCAGGGGGCAGAAAGACAAACAGGGGAATTTTCCACGTGTATTGTACCTTTGGCTCCTGCTTTCACTCAGGAATTTCTGACTGATGGGAAGGGGATGTGGATGCCAATGAGGATGCTAGTGACAGATTTCCAGATCCAGATGACTGGGTTTATTACAGCTGGACCAGCAGTGGAGGAAAGCTCTCCTCTGACACTCACCAGCAGTGTTGTTTAAACTGGGTGATTCTCAGCTAATTTGGCACATCAAAGAATTCCCTGTTCCCCCATGCATGCTATAATCATCCCTCCTTGTGGGCACACAGACAGCCCATTATGCCCTGTGCTGGTGCCCAGTGCAGGGCACTGGGGGAGCACTCTGAGGGCAGCTGGCACATTCTTCCATTGCTACCTGGGTCATCTCCTCTTCTGGGGTTCCCCAGGAGATTTCCCACCCTCAACAATCTGTGGGAGGCACTGTGCCTAGCACTGCCCTGTCCTCATCAGTGGCTTGAGCAAAGGAAGCAGGTTTGTGAGCAGCCTGTGTGGCTGGGCTGCTCTTTGTGCAGATCCACCCTGGTAAAGCCAGCCATGTCCCCATGAAGGAGCAACACTTACCATGTCCACTGCAGCTCCTATCAGCTCCTTCACTCCTCTCACTCAGTCTCCGAACAAATGAGTGCAGGGCTCTGCACTCCCTTTCTGCACCGACTGCGTCTCTTAGCATTTCCTTTAATTGCGCAGAACATAGCTGCATCCCTTTCCTCTTGCCCCCTCCCCCATGAGTCAGAGCCATGTTAACCCTTGCCAGAGGTTGCTGCCATGGCCTGCCACAGAGCATGGCACCAGTGCCACATTCAGAGAGGAAACCTCAGTGCCAACAGCTATCTCCTGGAATATGCTGCTGCCAAAGCCCAGGATAGAACATTTCCAAATTATCAGTGCCTACTCCAAGCACTTACTTGAGATCAAATCTCTAAGCGTTGAAAATGGAGACATGAGGATGATGTCTGGATTGCTGACTGTGCCCTGTGGGGACTCGTGTTCCATCTGTGAATGGGAATAGTAGGCATCCCAGGAAGGTGCAGCAGCATAAAGCTAGGTCGCAATGCCAGTGATGTCTCCCCAAGGGAGAAGTGTCCAAAGAAAACTGTGCAGCCAAGTGAGGGACTTAAGGTTCAGCTTCAGGTGTGTGAGGTGCACTCCTGACTGTCCTTTTTCATGTGCAAGGGGCTAGGGAATGGAAGAAGACAAAATGTTGACCCTTAGGTGCCAGCAAGGGGCACAGCAAGTGGTTGACCTGGGGGTAATAATAGACCACAGTATGAATATGAGCCAGCAGTGTGATGCTGTAGTCAGTAGGGCAAATAATACTCTGGCATGCATCAATGGATGCATCTCTGGCAAAATGAAGGAGGTGATTCTTCCGCTCTACTCAGCACCAGTAAGACCGCAGCTGGAGTACTGCATCCAGTTCTGGGCACCACACTTTAACAAGGACATGGACAAGCTGGAGAGAGTCCAAAGAAGAGCCACCCGTAATGATGAAAGTCTTACACGGCAAGCCATACGAGGAAAGGCTGAGGAATCTGGGACTCTTCAGCCTGAGGAAAGGAAGGTTGAGAGGGGATCTCGTAGCAGCTACTGCTACACTAGAGGAGTGCATCAAGGGCTTGGTGAGCAACTGTTCACCAGGGCACCCGAGGGGAAAACTAGGAGTAATGGCTACAAACTCCTGGAAGATCGATTCAGGAACAACATTAGGAAAAACTTCTTCACAGTCAGGTTGTCCAAACTGTGGAATAAGCTCCCACCAGAGGTGGTGCAATCACCTACCCTGGAAATCTTCAAGAGGAGACTAAACAGTCACCTTGCTGGGGTCACCTGACCCCCAGTTATCTGTCCTGCTTGGTGCAGGGAGCTGGACCCGATGATCTTCCAAGATTCCTTCCAGCCTTACAATCTATGACTCTAGGAATCTTATCTTCACTAAAGCACTCCATGGCTTGGACCCAGACCATGTAAGAGGGCTTTGAGATGAGAACATGGTTAACAGCTCTGCTTCTGTGGTTGTCTCTTGACAGCAATACAGAAATTCTGGGCTTTACAGAATTTCTTTAATTCTTGAATTAAACACTATCAATTACTGCCAACTTGCCACTCTAGGGCAAGGGGCACTTCTGCCTTTTCTCATATAAACATAGCAGCACACAAGTGTGTGGGGTGCTATATAAAGTAACACACCTAGCAAAACATAACACTTGACTGCACACACTTCTCTTTGGGAAAGGATGAGAAAAAAAACACATGACAGGTGTGGCAGAATGCCACCTTTTTCTCTCCCCAAAACCTCTGCTCTGTGACAATATGGTTAATATCGGCCCTACAGAGGGCAGACATCCCAACCCTTTAGGTAACCTGAGTTGGATACATTCCTAAGGAAGGGGGGAAACATGCTCCCTCTGCCTACGTGACTCGCATCACATACCTGGGTGAGGGACTTATGCTCCCTGTTGTTCTAAGCAATGCCAGCCTGACTGGGAGGGTGCTAGAGACCCTGCCAGTCTGCCCGGCAACCAGTGATGCATTTCAAATTGGTTGGCCGGCAGCCGCCAGCCGGACGGGGGGGGTGCTAGACCCCCTGCCAGTCTGCCCGGCAACCAGTGATGCATTTCAAATTGGTTGGCCGGCAGCCAACAGGTGCTGGTCTCCATTGGACCAGGTAAATGAGGTCATAAGAGCTATATAAGTTGACTGCCCTGGAGGATGGGTAGGAGCCATGATGAAAACTCAGAGAGAGAACAGCTGGACTATCTGAAACTTGTTCTCTGTCTTGAAACTCATAATCAATGAACTGCTTGCCTCCAGAAGGAATCTCCACCTGCCTCTAGATGATACTCGTGAGTAAGCTACCTGAGCTCTAACTAGATACAGAGCTTGCAGTAACTCAGAGCAAACAGGGTGGCTGGGTAGCCTTTCATCATGGCATGATCAAAGGCTACCCAGCCACCCTGTTTGCACTATGGGATTTCTCTGATATTGCCCAACCCTGTACCCAATTCCAGACCTACTCCATGTAACCAATAAAGTTCTCCTTAGTACCTAGCATGGGAGACTTATTGGGAGTGGGTCTAGATTATGCCTTGGGGTCCTTCTGGTTCGGCTGACTAAGGGAGACCACTGTTTGAGTTTCAGACTGAGGGAAGCACCCCAAGTTCTTGAAGTGAGTCGAGTACCCTCAAGGGCTACTAGGTCTGTGTTTCCCAGGGAGCACAGAGCCAGGATCACTCTAGACCCTGGGTGGTGGTGGCACTACCCCAGGCTAGCAGGTCTGCTCCAGGAAGGGGGTCAGCTAGATGTGAGATGCCCCCAGGGAGGCACTCGGAGCCTGGAAGGTGGTTGGGCGCAGTGAGGTGGGTGGCTCAGCACAGGAGCACCCCCTACTGACCCGCCACAAAAGGTATTAATTGTGTTGTTCAGTGCCTTTCTAATAGGCATTCTGCTAGCCACAGTGATGAACTAGATAGAAGTGAATGAAGTACAGGAAGCACCACTCCAAGATGGGCTGACATGCTCAAATTGAACCAGAAATGGAGACTTTCAGAATGCAGCCAACAGTGTGAGGAGAGGACCTGAGGATGCTCACTACCTGTGCTCCTAAGCAGGCTGGAGAGAGAGGTCACAACAGTGAAAGCAGGAGGCATGTGGAAAGAGGCTTCACTGCCTCATTTCTGGGTTTGATGCCTGAGGAATAGGTTGGGCATGCTTCTTGGCAACCCTCTTGTCAGGGCCACAGAAATGATATAACGATATCCTTAGACATTCTCAACAATTTTATCTCAGAAGGGGAAAAGTCTGAGGAATCAACAAGCAAGAAAGAGGAAAATGGAGCTTGACTAGAGTTGTTCAAGCAGTTTGGCTGCATCTGGCCCTGGTGCTCTGTTTGTAACAAGTTAAACACAGTATCCCTGAGTTTCTGGAAGATGTCATCATTATTAGGTGTTGACTCAGAAATGTCACACGGTAATTGAGGATAATGGAATATACTATGCCATATCACGCAATTTCTAGCGGGGAATTTCTGAATAATGACTGTCTTTTACTTCTGACGAAGTGACTACATAGCCATATTTTTCTTCTCCTTCCCTTCAGCTATCTCTGCTAATCTCAGCAATAGAAGGCAATAAATGAATTTCCCCATATTTTCTGGTTTTCTCTGCTCCCTGTCAATAATGCTTCAGAAATTGCTCCCATCATTCCTTTCCGTCATCTTGTATTGTTCTTGCTCTGTCTGAATCTTTTTCTTCCCTTTTATTTCCAGGTAGAATAGCTCTGGAGGGATTTTTTTTTCAGGAATTGCTCTGCCCTTCTCCAGTCAAAAGCAAGATAAGAAAATGTGTGTAGTTATTTTTATTCTTATTCCAGAGAAGCAAGTTTTGCTCCAGAGGGATTAATACCAGACAAAAGGAGGAACCAGTGGCATAATACTGTAAATCTACTTACACTACTAGGCACCTGGCCAATGTAAATCAAGCCTAGAGCTGTATGCCTGATTCTAGCAGTTTTCCCCTTGCAAAACATTGTGAGTACAATTGTCAAAGAGGAAACCAAACAGAGAGGCTGAATTTATTCTGAGTAGTGCAGTGGGATATCACTCCTCAGGCCATGAAATGCGCAGGGAGTGCATGCAAGTAAAAGACTGGCTGGAGGGACAGCAAAGCCAAGCTGGAAGCTGTTCAAGCAGAAAAGTAGCTTTCACATAAAGCTAACAGAGCCAAAACATTATGCATTCAGAGTGACATTGGCAAAATGTTTCTACCAAGTCAGACACCTATGTTCAAAATAAGTCAGAACAATGGAAACTGAGCATGTTCATAGGACAGAGCAGTTATGACACAAGAAAGTTGTGGATGGGTGGTGGTTTTTCACTTCTAAGAGGAAAAAGAAAAAACCCAGAAAAACCAATGTGCCCATCCCTTGGTTTATTCTCAGATACAAATCTTATCTGCTATTGTTTCTAAAAGGATCACAGAGCAGAGGATGTGGCATCCAAGCCCTGTGAATACCAGCTCTGTTCACAGCTGTGAATCAGTGTACTGCTGTAGTTTAAATGCCAGCAAAGATTATGATAAATGTTTTTCTGGGTCTCAGTACTTAAGTTCTTCAGAATGGACTGGTCTGCAGCCTTTAGAAGGTCAACACACCCTGATTTTGGAGAATATGGCATTTTATTTAATTAATCTTATGGCAAGATACAGAACAATAATTATTGGATTATAGGAGGCTCGAGGGCTGCAGAAGGTACTTTATAGCTGTAACCCAGAGATGACTAGGCTGTTGGTTGGCGATTTCCATGTGTCTCCTTTTGGAGAGGATTACTGAATGGGGGAAGCACTATCTGGGAAGCATGGGAAGCATAGCTTAGCCAGATGCAGGTGTGAGCAAAGCACTGAGCTCCTGACCTGGAGGACGGGGTGCAGATTCTGCATCTTGGCTTCTGACTCCTCAGTCCAGTCCTGGAAACCCCACCCACGCTTTCAGTATGAGTCAAATTGAATATATTTCATAGATTTCATAGACATGAGGGCTGGAAGGGACCATTGGAAGATCATCGAGTCCAGCCCCCTGCCCCAGGGGCAGGAAGTCAGCTGGGTTCAATGGATTCCAGCAAGATAAACATCCAATTTACTCTTTAAGGAATCCAGAGTAGGTGCTTGCACCACCTCT